TTTTACTTACTGTTGTAATGTGTTAAGTACAATTCGTTATGTTCATCGAAACCTTCCGTATCCGATAAATGATCAAATGGATACATATTCAGCTCTGGCGAACGGCCTGAAGCCAAAATGCGCGGACGATCTTCCTCGATAAGCTTCTCAGCCTCTTGCACATAAATATCGTAGATACGAGCGGAGCACTTCAACTGCAAAGAGCAGAGCAAAAATAAAAAAAAAATCGTAATATATTATAAACTGTATTTTTGAGGCATGTGCCAGCAATACCTTTAGGCGACCTTTGTTGAAATGATGCAGTGCGGCAACAAAGTTAATTTCCACTATCGCAGATTCCAAATTCTCCGAGAAATGACGTTGAATGCCAAATGTGCGAACTGAATCTGGTGGCGCCTTAAAAATATATCAGAAATGAAAATATATAAGTAACCAATATATTGGATAGTCGAAAAAGTCATATTTCTAATCAAACTTTAACTAATTTTTTTTTTTTTTTTATATTTACAAATACTAAATATGTAAATAAAATTCGGGATTTAAAATAAGAACTGAGTTTATTGTTTAAATTTCTTCACGAATACATTCATATGCAGTCTTCGACTTCAATAGTTTGCTCGTGAAATTTGAAAGCATTTTGGCTGAGGGTAATTACAACACAAATTTTACACCCGATGCAGCTTTAAGTCAAGCACATCTACTGCAAACGCGCTACTCAAAAACAACTTTGTCACATATACGACCTGGCAGGTTATGTAATTTCCACCCATTTATTCGCAGCTTAGTTCCGAAAGAATGACGCCCACCTAATGCGATGTAATTTCGACTACTCGACAACTCAACACGACGATGCAAACGCCTGCATGAACCAGCATTTATACGAACAGACTCGAAGTGTACTTTTACGAGTGCGTGTGTGCGTGTRTTGGTGCTTAAGTCAGTTTGCTTGTGCGTGTTTGTGAGCAAGKGACACAAAAAATCGAGGAATTCTAATAAAAAAACAGAAATGAACGAATTTTCTGTTGATTTGCGAGCAAAGTCGTAAAGTTGAGAATTTCTGCATTCACTACGCAAACTATTGTACTCGTAAATATGTATGTGCSTGCGTATGCGCATATGTGTGTGAAGCACGAAATGCGCTACGAATGTGTGCGTATGCGTGGCAAGTGAAGTCACCGAGGCTATAACGGTGGGTTTGTTTGTGTGTGTCTAGTGAAACTACAGATTTTCTTGGGTAGACGCAGAAAAGTTTGTAAAGAGTTGTCGCACTGGCGACAGAGCGAGCGGAGACTGCCGCAAACGCAGCTAGTCAGAGTTAGCGTTGGCGGTGRAGGTGGCGTTGGCGTCGTAACACGGAAGTGAAAACAGAAATCGCAATCAGGGCTCAAGTGGCTACAGGTACCTGCATTACAAGTTGCCGCTACCACTGAGCGTTCGAGTGCAACTTCCGCTTCGCTCAAGTGTGGTTCACAAAAAAATAATTTAGTTGAAGTAGTTYTGAGAAAAAATTGCAATAATAAAAAATTTGCGGCGTTGACRCAGTAAAAGCTGAAATTTTCAATTTGAGTTTGCCAACAAATGCATAAATCAATAAACTTTCATTTCATTTCACTGCACAGCATTAGTACGAAGCTTGCCTSCTGCCGCACGGCGTTTCAAGCACACAAATATATTTATGCTTTTGCCGACGCCAGTGGCTAATATTGTTTTAGGTCAAATAAATTACTTAAAAATCTTTAACTTGGTGAAAATTTCAAGCTTTAAATAATAGCGCAGAGCCAGCGCAGCCGCCCAGCCCGCCCTACCCTTACTAAACGGGTGATTTCGAAACTAGAACAAAGTAATTTTTTACACCCTAATATGTGACAGTGAATGTCAACGCGCAAATCATGATTTTTAATAAATTTTAAATCGTTCCGAGGTAGTGAAATAGTCCCTAGGAGGTATCAAAATCACGCTTGCGAAAACCGAGTTCTTTATTTACCGAAARACAACAACTTCTCTCTATTAAATGAAAAATTCGMMCGAAACAAAGCAAAAATGTTGCAGGAAATTTGGAAAGSCAGAGAAAAAAGGAAATAAAAAAGCGTAATGTCTTGCGGTAAAGTTAGTTGAAATGATGTAGGTGTGCTTAGGGTAACACGCCAACGGCAGCCGAGCAGCGTTGGCAGGACTGCAAGCATATGTCACTTTCGGCGCGTTGACACYATAGCCGAGCTCTCTGGCGACACGACTGCAGCCCACTGCTTCCCCCTCAAAGTGAGCGAGCACGGCTTGCGGCTTTGCTGGCATTTCATTTTCTTCGACATTTCATAAATCTGTTCTTAGTGTTTTGGTATTTTCCYCATTTTATTTCTATTCGGTTTGTGTTGTACATTTCGGGTTTTAGCAATAATATTTCAAGGTTTTGCTGTTCTGCTTTTGCATTTTTACCGCCATTGTTGTTGTTGCACTAGATTTGTTTGACGTTTGGAATGCTGTTAGTAGTTGGCTGGCAGTTGCTGTCCATTTCGGCAAAATGAYTTTTAGCCAATATTGATTTCAAATTGAATTTTTTTGGACATTCGCTGCAATTTACGGGCTGTAGTTGCTCAAGGAGTGGAAGTGAGCTGCTATTTGGAAGCAATCGGTAAGTGGAACATTCATTAAGAATATTTTTTGGAGTTTGCTCTCTTCCACCGAAATGTCCTTCAGCGCTGCTATCGTTCGTCGAGTGTCGTTACAAGCATGCCAAGTGAAATTTGATTGGCTCCAAGCTCTTTCAGTGCCRCTACACTGCCAGATAGCTGAGAGCCGCTCAGCCCAAGTGCGAATGGCGCTGTGTAAGAAGAAAGCGGAAGCCGCAGGGTATGCATAGCATGAGTGCAGCAAAAGCATAATTTTTTCGTCTCTGATTTGATTTATGCGACACTTTAATGAAAATGTGTAACAGCGGCAGCATCAACAGCAAACAAGTTGCAAAAAGTGCAGTAATATCGAAGAAATTGAATGTAACACATCGGGCATTATGAATAAGCTAATGTGCTGAGGAAAATATGCTACCGAATTGAGTCACTTTTAATGTCACTAAATTAATTAATAATCTTCTATAATTTTTTGCAACAACTATTTGCTAATATCTTCAAAACAAGAGAAAACGTTTACTTCGTTAGCACCGAACTAGAATTTCTTTCACAAGTACAAAAGAAGTCAAAAAGTTTGATCGGTTATATTGTATGGCAGCTATATGCTGTAGTGTTCCGCTCTGAACAATTTCTTCAGAGACCGTGCCAAATTTCTTGAAGGTATCGCCTCAAATGAAAAAGTCTTCCACGCAAGCACTTGAGGCCGATCGTTCAGTTTGTATGGTAGCTATAAGTTATGGAGGTTCGATATCGGCAAATAAGCAGCTTCTTGGAGAGAAAAATACGTGCCCAAAATTTCGAAATGATATCTCWAAGGCTGAGGGACTAGTTCGAGTATATATTCAACCGACGGACATAACTAAATTGAATCAGCTATTCGTGCTAATATATACGTGTATATATGCAGAGTTTGTCCGGAAAGTAACAGGAATGAGCCAATTAAAAAAAATTTCTTGATCCATTTGTTATAACTCTCTAAAAAATTTCTGAACAAGCTAGTTCCGCGTCGATRCAGAGCTGTCACAGCGCTATTTCCAAGCATTAAGTCGTCACTGAAGGCATTCTCCGGAATAGACTTTAAAGCCGAAGTACAAGTAGCTTGCATCCCCTCTATCGTCTCAAAGTGCTTTCCTTTCATCGGCCTTTTCAGGCAAGGAAACAAAAAAGTCCGACCATACCTGGGATATAGCGCAGCTGCGGAAGCGTTGGGATGCCGGCCTGGATTAGATAGTTCACAAGAAAGGCGGTAAGGCCGGGGCATTGTCGTGTAGCAACTTCGAATTGGCTGCGATGTCTTGACCCTTCGTTTGAGTCTCTGGAGGACTTCCACGTAAAACTTATAATTGACGGTTTGTCCAGKAGGAACAAATTCAYCGCGGACGATGCCTTTGATGTCAAAAAAGAATTCGAATTTGCTCATTCATTAGCGAGCTYTTCCCGGCCCTCTGGTGCTACCGAAACACACCATTTCTTGCTAAAGCAACATCTGGKTAAGCCTTTCACACAGAACTTAATCGCATACCTGTGCTCTAACAAACGCTGCATTTTCACCTTACACCACTCACAGAAACACGTCGCGCGGAAATGTTTGCCCTGACTCTACAGGTGCTCGGTGCCCGCTCGTTCGTTAGTTAGGAAGAAAATCAGTACTATTACTTTTCGGACAAACCCTTTAAATATATATTTGATAAGGTCTTCGACGTCTCCTTCTAAGTGRTTTTGACTTTCTGCAAACTTAATATACCAAGCTCATTTTATAAAACTTCACCATATACGAAATGTCTACAACATGTTACAAATAAGTGCCTCTTCGCGCCATAATTTCTTTTGGGAAAAACATAGAAATATAAAACAAAAACAGTATACATCTACCTGCAAGTCATTGATCCACCAAGTTAAATTCGCTGCCGGTTTTGAAAAGTCGGATGAGCAGTTGCCGTTAATGACATCACCGAGACGGTAACGAGAGTGAATTCCAGTTATAACTGGGCGTTGTGTGGGTAATTCTACAAAGCAKAGAAGACAAATGACGTTTTACAATAATGAAATAAAATTACAGACCAATATTCGAATAATACATTTAAGAAGTTTCATTGTAAGCAATAAGAACTCACCTACAACTTCCATTTCGCCAGACACTAAGAATGTGTTGAAGGATGGCGCGTCTGCTGAAACCTCGCAGCTATATTTGCCAGAAATAGGATTTCTGATGAAAACATGTGTGGCGTTCGATTCGGCCATCTGCAAATATTATATAAATTCTATAATTAAAGTATGAACTGTAAATATTGTATTGTCTATTCCTTATTTTTGATTTCCGTACAGCAAAGAAATTTGGTTTGCTCTTTTATATTCGTTACATATTCCCAAATAAATAAATAACCGATTAATATTTGAAACCAATACTGTTATGTGTAGTGAGTAATTAATTTAAAGAATACAAGGTCCAATTAAGAATTTCGTGTAATTTTCTATACATATTCTGCATACAAATAAATCTGCAATCAAATTGCTTCACAATATATGAAACTGCTTTTGATAGTATACTCCAATAGTACTGGCGTACTGAAATAAGTCTCTCTGTAATTACATTCCAGGAAATTGATGTTTTCTGTTATAATTTCGATATAAATAAAAAATGCATGTATATTTAATGCTTAATTACTCAAATGTTGCATKATGTTGCTGTGAACTGTTCCCTTTAGGAAAGTTAGAACCAAAGAACKCGCAATTAGCTTATTTTGTATGGAAGAATTAGCCAACATAATTATGTTGGCTTGTCATAAGCTATTAGACTTGTATATTGAACTAGAGGCATTGCCTGTTAATCGCTTTTTTTCATTCACAATAGCAATGTTTTCCCCAAATAAAAAGTAGTTGGCAAAGCGAGAAACCTCATTTTGACAGATGAAATTGTAAACAAACCGAAATTACAGTTTTTTTAGATGAGTRTTAAGTTAAGTAGGCAGATGTCTTAATAAATTGGTGCTACCAAGTTTTAGATCAGTTGTACTMTTGTGAATAGATAAAATGGCAAATTTMTYGGTCTTTCCAACGCAGTGAAGGTTTTCCTCTTCATCTGTTAGCGCCCTCTTTTAATTCGCAGAAATATGTCAACGGCGTCGTATATCTACAGCTCATCATTCCTCCGAATGCTGTATTCGCCGCTGCCAATGCGCAAACGACCATAAATCTTCCGCAGAACCTTTCTATCGAAGGCTCGTAACGCCGACTCATCAGATGTTGTGAAAGGGGATGATGAGTGCTTTGAGAGTTTGGTCTTTGTTCGTCGAGAGAACTATTACTCAGACCAAAGTAGCACCTGTTGGCAAGAGTTATTCTGTGTTTCTTCTCGAGGCTGACATTATTGTCGGTGTTAATACCGGTTCCAAGATAGACGAAATTATTTACGACCTCGAAGTTATGATTGTCAACAGTGACGTGGCAGCCAACCCGCGCGTGCGACGACTGTTTGTTTGATGACAGGAGATATTTCCACTAAAAAAACAATCCCAACACTATTGCGCATGCGTCGGATGATTAGATATCAATAAAAAATGTACACACACTACAGAGAAAATAATTTATTTATGTGCTTAAATTTGTTTGTCATGTGCAATATTTTATAGTTACTGATTGTACAAGGAACTACTAACGTTTCCATATGTACCATATTTGTTTATCTAGCGCATTAATCTACAGAACAAGTGAGTGGACGGTCATGTAGGATATGGTTATAGAGTATGTGACTGGGTTTACATACGCACACTTTCGAACTTATCGGCAAATTTTTTATTCATCGTCGTACCCTCGCCTACAAAAACCCGGTTCTTTGTGAGCACAGTCTGGCATGCAATTGAATCATACATAAATATCTCTGATCTGCAACTTAAAAGGTAGTATCCCAAGAAATCGACTTTCAAGCAAAGCAAAAGTAGAACAGTAGACACTGCTTTGAATGCACTTGTTTCCTGGCTTGAGAGTACCATAAGGAACAAGGAGCTTGTAGTTGGGACGTTCCTCGATATCTAGAAAGCATTCAACAACGTTCGGSCGGAAGCGGTCAATAGAGCTTTGATTAAGTTTATAGCTCTATCGAATCTTAAGCATACCATCTTCAAACTTCTCTGTGAAAGAACGATCGTGACGGAATGAGGCAGTGCCTAGTGATTATCTACGAGGACGATGTAGCTCTCAGGTTTGAGGGAAATTTTCTGAATACCGTGTACCAGCTAACCAAGGCGCAACTTAGTGTCATAAGCACTAGGCTGCAGAAAAGTATCTAGAGCTCATRCTTGACGAGAAGCTTTCGTGGTAGTGTTTAGCCGGCAACTCTCATCAGTATTTCTGGTGTATSACAAACCACATCRACTATGGCACTAAATGTGTTCCTGCAATTAGCACCGGTGGATATAGCTGCTAAGCGCACCAAAAGCTGMTCTCAGACTCAGAGAATATGGGTACTTATATGTCTGCGGGCCTAAGCACTCTGGACTCCTTGCACACTTTCATTTCTTTCCATAATATTTGGATTACCAGATCGCTGAACGTAGCCRTGGCTATCGCTTCACTGGTCACACACAATCAAGGCAAAGGGTTATTGGATGAGTACAGTGCCAGGAACTTTCCGTCAGTTTCAATTTAAGGCTTTCTGATCGCTGCAGCTTCTTTTAAGCGGAAGTGACTGCCATAGGGGTAGGAGTACTCTCAATACTCTGGAGAGCAGTCTACTTCAGTGTAGTGACTATCCACTCCGATAGTATGGCAGCAAGGTTTGACGTGATTTAGCTGACAGTGAGCTCAAAATTWGTGAAAAGAAGCCTAGAGTTCTTATCTCTATCATCGAGTTACTTTGTGATTAGACTGGTTTGGGTGCCTGTCCCAGCAGTGTTACARAAAACTGTAAAGCTGATAAGCTTGCCAGGACAGCTTCAGCTTCAAAACCTGCAGAATGAGAACGGTTGGGAAGTAGGCTATGGCATCTCAAAGCCGTTCTGGGTCAGGATAAATTGAGAGAGTTCTAAGGAATTTGATCTCAGCAAGGTTCACATTTGAGTGATTTGTAKGATTACTGACTGGGTAGTGTCCCATCGGAATTCATGCAGAAAGAAGTTTTACCGGATGTCAGCTACATCAGCTGTACATAACAGTCTAAGCAATGCTGATGAGTCCGCCATTTAGTCTAACCTAACATACAAATATGTATCTTGAGATCATGGTTTCTTCGCGACCCTCAGAAGAGCAAAAGTATCAAMATTTTCTCTGGTGTTCTCAATAAATGTAACTCACCTTTTCAGTTATCAGCTTTAATCAAAATATTTTGACACAAGCGTTCGGATCAGAAAGATCTGGCAAAAAATGTAAGTTTACTTTCCTCCCTATTTCGRAAACCGCCTCACAACATTAAAAATTGCAATTAAAGTGAAACATTAAATTGCTAATTTAAGGTAAAGCCACTGCAGCAACGAAATATTCGCTCACAGCATGACTCCCAGTCGCAAACCGCCTTTCGACGTGTCAGCGTAATTAAAGTTGAAATTTTGCGGCACGCGCTAAAAATTCTTAATGAAACGGCTACTGGCTGGATGCAAGCAACAAGGGACGCGAGCGAGTGAGAGYGAGTGAAGAAATGAAAAAAATGAGAATTTCTGTAACAATGCTGACTTATTTTCAACTTTAACTCTTACTGCAGTTGCTACGAAATTTGTAAATTAATTGTGAGCAAACTGAGAAGAAAAGGGCGAAAATAATGCAATAAATAAGCAATTACTGCGCTCAAGGCCAACAAGTGGAAATAAATATAATASGGATATATGTATATATACACAAAAAAATTTAGCACTGATGGTGATCTCTACTTTCCCTGGTATTACATAACAGCATGTTGAGAGAAAATTAATTTTCCACATCCKGAATGAGCAAGTGCGACAATGGTTATAAACAATTTCATTCATGCACACTTTTTACATGCTTATAGGAGTGTATGTATGTATGTATACTTTTATGCTCGCCCGGCCCATGATCATTCTACATGTTTTTCTTTCTTAATTACAATATTTTTGTACATTTCTTCTCTGATATAAAATATAAGTATACATACATATGTACTAGTAAGTATGTAATGTGAAGGATAGCAATACTGTTTTTTTACTTACATCAACCGAATATCCGCCACTCGCCGGAAATATCTTCAGTGCTGGATTCTCCTTCGGCGTATAGCGATAAAATTCCCGTCGTCCWCGATACCATTTAACTGTATATAGATTTTCATATTCCAGGTTGTAATTGCAGATTAAGATGGCGTTATCGCCACGTTTAACGGCCGAAGGTATCGAGACGCTYACATTGCTCAGCGCCGTGCTGCTGTCTGCGAATAAAAGGATCAAAAAAGTAAAAGTCGGGTAAGTGGGCAGCCAGTGGATGAAGCGCTTTTTGAACAGAACGGAAAATGTAATAAAAATACTTAAAAACAGCAACTTTGTGCTTGGCTTTTRCTGGGTTTGCTCGTCTGTCTTCCGTGTATTGTTTTCCAAGTTGAATATTAATTTTTTGCGCCAGCCTTTAAGCTGCTGTTTCACGTACATATGCGCGGCAGCATGTGGTGCTACACACAACGCAGCAGCGGACACTTCAATTATATTAATTGATTGTCAGCAACTTTATATGGTGGAGACGTGAATTAAAATTTCACACAAAAAACTTTTGACGCCGGCGCATGTGAAAATTGTGGATTACTGTCCACTTCTACTAAGAGCACATGTCCGCAGAGAATTTAAAAAATGACGGCAGTATATTTAATTTTTATTGGTATAAGCCTTAAAGTWCTTCAATCGAGCTTAAATTTTGAATTCCTGGAACTAAGAAAAAACTTACTATTAACTAAACCCAAAACTCATACGAAAATACACGGCATGCGTAGTCGACAACAAACACGCAGCTCCATCGTTTACAACACGCCATACAAAAAACTATCGAACTCCAAAAACGTCATCAAAATCTTTTGGGCGCCCAGCAAAAGTTGGAGCGACGAATTTCCAAAACGAAAATCAACTTAACTTCAAAAGTGGGTCAACCTAAAAGCGTCRTAGCCAAATATGCACGATCGTGTACCATGACGACGATACCCACAGCGATATGCATATACTCATATGGACATACATATACATACACATAATATACACATGTACCTGTCTCTTATACACATCTAGATGTGTATAAGAGACAGGTACCATGACGACKATACCCACAGCGATATGCATATACTCATATGGACTATACTATACTAACATAGAATATGGTGGGTAAGTTATATTTTGTAGAAAGTAAACAAGGTTTGAATATTTGTAGGAGAGAAATACGAATAATTACTAATTTCCCTTTAGTTCTCTTCTGCTGAATAACTCTGACAAGAACGRCTATTATCATTTAGATTTTTTCTGTCTATATGCGGTCGTTAAMTAACTGATTTCGTTTGAAGACGTCACCTGGTTTATTTTTTCGCAGCTAACATCACACTTAAYTGCTTTACAATTATATATGTAGGTAGTCGAAAAAGTCTTTTCGTATTTTTTAATCAAACTTCAACTCATTTTTTTTTATTTTTACTAGTAAATAAATATATACCATTTTGATCGATCACTTTTTGCCATWTTTTAGCCAGAGACATTGTCCATCAATGTTTTTAAAAATTGTTATTTATAGCGGTATTGCAGATATAAAATTGATAACAGCAYTTTCGACATATTTTACTTTTTTACTATCAAAAAGTTAAAAATGACTTCTAAAAAATTATCAAAAATTTCTTAATGGAAATTTCGATTTTCAGCATAGACTACGAAAGATTAAATTTGTCTAACGTGACTTCTCTCAAACACATGAAACGTATACAATTAATTTCAAAGCTTGACACATGGATTCCCCATAATCTTAATKATTATAATTTGCTTGTCAAACGTCAACTTCCATTTTGAAAGAGCATTGTTACTGGTGACGAAAAGTGGGATGATTAAAAGAATATAAAATGCAAGAGATCATGGTCCAATAAGAATGAATCAGCTCAAAACACTTCGAAGGCAAATAGTCAGCAAAAAAATGTTACATGTGTTGTCTGTTTTGTGARAAATCAAAAGGATCATTAATTTTGAGTCCTTTCTCGACAATTTGTATCACGATTGTTTCTAAATCTGCTGACCGAATTAAGGGATGCACTCAAACAGAATATCCCAGAATGCTCACCTTCGAAATATTACTTTTTAGGGTATCTGCAAAAATGTTTGTTTAGGATAACCTTCAACTCAATCAGAACGTCGAAATGACTCGATTCGCCTGCAAGATTAAAAATTGTATAAAAGTTTAATCAATCTCTCTGAAAGAAGGCAAAAAGCATTGGATCAGAATGGAGAATATATAATTTCATAAAATATAAAAATTATATTTAAATTACACTAAAAAACTAAAGTAGGTACTTAGTGAAGGAAAAGTAGGCCATGGTCTGCAACACTCAAAAGGAAACGTCGGAGACCCTATAGCGTCAGCGGGATAAGCTAAGCCAATTGAGACATATCCATATTCTTGTATATACGCAAAGTAGCTCTTAGTGTTTGAATTATCGATCTGAATCTGAAATTTTKTACAAGTCTTTTACTTCCCAMGAAACTGGAMATTTGKCGGAATCGCCAATGTCGAACCGATCCAAATCAAGTTATTGTATGGAAAGGTTTTTTATTTGACACGATATCTTCACGAACTTTAGCGCTGAGTATTATATAAGACAGCGTTACAATATATTGTTCAAATGAGATCARAGATATTTGTATAACCGTTTATGGTGTAAGAAATGCAACTCTGAAGAGTAGTATGACTTCAAAGCTGAGGTTTTTTGTTGTTGACAATACGAATAATAAGAACGTTGTGTGTCTTATAATATACATATGCATGTATGGTGTATTTTTAAACTTGCATTATAACTGCTTCAATATTTCCTCATGAAATTCTGAAACAGATACTATAAATGGCTTTGCTTTTGTTTKTCGAACTTTTGAAGGCCAAGCAATGCAAAGGCAACGCTTAAAATGCAATCAAGAACACGGTTCCCTTTGCATGCCCACTGCCCGCAAACGTACTACGAGTATAAAGAACCTCATAAATGTTCTCCAACTACCAACTGCAGTTCAGGCCAATTTAATAGCGTTAATGTACGTATATATGCACGTACATATATCTGTGAATATTTCTCTGCGTGTGATCTGTTGCTTCGTGAACTTTACTGCCTTGCTTTAATTGGTTCGTTGCAGTCAACAACCGCACAGTCGGTAAATAATAACAATAAAAACAAACATTACGCAAAATAGTGAAACATATTAACTTGACACACGGTCGCTTTGGATGTCTTCGCTGCTGTTGGTTGACCTTAAAGAAATCACTTATTAACATTACGCTGCGACATGCTTTACTTTATGAGTCTCGCTTGGCGGTTATTTGCCAAGCCATCGTAAAGGCCTACCAGCGTAGGCTTCGCGGCTTCAGAGGACGCTTAACGACAAGGCAGTTTGTGCATTTATGCAGCTTTTAATCACAAGCTTATGTACACAAAATATCTGTGGCAGTGTTTTTGTAGTTCGCCACTTTGCGGCGCAATATTGAGGAGCATTCGGCTTCGGTTGGTAGACTGCTTGCTCAGTTTGTTAGCAGTTTTAATACGACTTGCGATGTGTTAGCCTTGCTTTAAGGTAATTGTTTAAGGTTTTCCAAGGTTTTTTGAAAAAAAAAACTGAAATGAAAATACCGGCAGGTTTTTCGCCATGAGTGGTATGCTTTTTTTTTATTGATTTTTACTGAATATGTTTTAYGTGGCTAGTTGTCCACCACCTTTTTCTGTTTGCCTGTATCGCATAGAACAACTGCGGCGCTAAACTAGCGTGGCTAGATTAACTAGCCGCAACGCAGTAGCTAATTAGTAAAGAAACTGTGAACAGTGGGGCTACAYACACATGCTACATACGGATGAAGCGGCAGAAACTTCTAAACAAGAATAATCAGAAGCTCTACAAATTGCTTCATAGATTCACACCTGTATGCRCTTCACTTCCTTTGACGGATTCTAAACAACAAAAGAATACCCCCTAGCTATCACATAGCGCTGCAGCCCAAGCAAACTACTTTACTTACTAAGGCTTCGTAGTATAAGGTGTGTGTGGAAGTCAAAGCTGATTAGTTTTTTGTACTATTTCAACCAGGCGAGCAGCGTGCGCTCATCAGCAACGCACAGATTTTCGAATGGGTCGGACAATAATCATGCCCTGCATACAAATAAACATATTTTTCATTTTTATATATGAATATTTACATGCCTCCATACACACATATCGCGGAAACAGATACGCCGGTAAGCGCATAGCAACAACAGTTTAATGAAAACAAAATATGCGAAAGATATTCAAAAAAAAAATTATAAATATAGATATGCATACCTACATACAAACATACTTTTAGCATGTGCTGCTGTCGTCGCCAAGGTTTAAAATCAAAGATGAAGTCCGACGTAAACTCGAAGCGAAAGAAATCACAACAATAATGTCAATAAAGCGCGTCAACATAAATTCAAATACTGTTGTTGTTGCCAAGACAATTCGTTCAACGAGTCTACACTTTGAAGGTCAAGTATGAGCAGTATCGTGATCGAGACAGAAGTAATAACCACGTGCGAAAGTAAACCWAAAATATAAACAATAAAATGCTAGTATTAATCGGTACAAACCCTGTGGGGATGACGTTTCGTTCACATACATTAATTTTTACACTYATTCCATTTTGCTAGTAAGCGACCTTAGTTAATATAAAACTATGGTATGTCTTTGTATATAGACAGTCATAAGCGTTATAATAACGCCAAGTTCAAACTCATTTTTTAAAGTTTTAAGAAAWAGGTTTCCAAATCCAAAACAAATATTAGTTTTCAAATTGTGCAATCACGAGAAGCAAATGTTCCASGAAAAATCGACTTTTTCTCAAAGTGTTAATATTAAAGAATATATCTATRACTGGATTATAAAATGAAAATTATTTTYGAAGATCAGGTATTTTGCTGATTCGCCATCCAAACAGGTTCGACCAGAACTTAAGCTTTAAAYGCGTTGTTCGTCTTTGCTGGACAGATTTACCTTAAATGTATGGATCGATGTATAGATAATGTTCTTTATGAACTTGTCTATGTCTGGAACTATCCATATCACCAAATTTAAACTTTTACTATTTTTCAAAACTTCGATAAAGCCCAAAAAGTGGTAACAAATTTTTAATTTTCTGTGGTTCATGTGGTTTATCTTAAGGAAAAAAGATTTTTTTTTTAATAATCGATTTTTCTTCAAT